GTTTGTAGAGAATCAGTTGCTCTATCATTCTACATTGTTAAATCAAAGTTTTATTCTCGAGTTCTGGGTGTTGAAAAACCAGGGTTTGGGTTTTCTAGAGATCCTAACTATGAAAACTGTGTGAAGATCTCGAAATCTTTACATCTTTGTTTGGAAATACTACAGCTACACAAATCACTATTTGGATTTTTCTTAACATTTATGGATACGAAAAAAATCGAAAATACACCTGGACGCTCAATTTTGGCCGTCACTGTATATATGCGCTTCGATATACTGATAGTAGTGATTTTTTGATTTAAAGAAAATAAAAAAGATTATCTTCTACATATTCAAACCGATATTTTGCCTTAAAATAAATAATAAAGGTAGAACGTAACAACTCCACAGATATCATTCAAGAGTACAGGATAGTTCGATTCGATGTTTCGTGTATACACTTGTACTATAGCGAAAGTTTTCTTCACCAGTTGCAGCCTTAGAAGATCGACTCGATCGTTGATTGGTCTCCATTCAATGATTCTATTGGTTAGATGAGGACATATGAGTATTTTCTTGAAGGTCTTTCGATTAACAGAATATCTAAACAGAATCGACTGTCTTTTCAGAGTATACATTTAGTAAGATCACTCCATGGCTAAACTTTCAGCCCTTTAAGTTTATCTACTCTGGAGATATGAATGTGTACAAAATATCAAACAATGACATTCTTTCTATATATACTTGACAGTATTGGTAAACTTTTCAGCAATTCATTCATTTCAACTGATATTTTTATGAGAAGTACTTTGACCTGAGATGCATTCACAGTCAAAATTTCAAGCTTAACAAATATATGCTTGACGAGATATGACTGTGACGAAAACTACAAAAAGAACATAAAATGTGTTCTGTATGACGATAGTCCTCTCAAAAATCAATAAATACCTTGAGAATGGAACAATATTTTTTTGAACGAATTTAGTAGAAATTTATCAACACTTTATTCTATAAATATATATAAAAACTAGCCAAACCGACGATCGTCCATTGAACAGCTTTTCTGAAAGTGGTTAATAATATTACTCAATTCAGCTCATATACACAGCAGAAAAGAGTTTTGTTCGAATCAAAAGCAAAATTCCAAAGTTTTGAAAATTTTTGCTCCTAGCTAGGAGTCAGTTTTGCCTAGTTTCGAAGTAGGAACTCATAGGTCACTCATAAGCAATAGAAAGCTGCTCACAACATAGAGGGTATACCTAGAACTTATGAAATACCCCTATAGAACTTAAAATGTCGTAAAGTGATTTTGAATATGTCAGTATATAGAGTACCTATGATAGTATCGACTCACTCAATATCATGGCTAAAAACAGTATTCTTGAATAATAGTGAAATATATAATGCATGGATACTGTAATAGTTATTCTTATTTTTTTTTCCTATCTTAGGTTGCTTCTGTCGTTGCCTGAAGATTTCAACAAGGAAAAGGTTTTAAGAGCTGAAATTTCTCACATTTTCACATCTCACTTGAGGCAATACACAAGCAAAGTTGTATTAGAATCTGTGATATTAATTGAGCAGGATAGATTGTCTTTATCGTGCAATGACGCTCTCTAACACTAATTTTTTCAATTTTTTAGGATGCCTAAATAACATAAATTGACCCAAAAGCTAGTACTGATTCCTTCTACCTATTCAAATTCGAAAAAAATATAATAGAAAATGATTATATCAATCCATGTCGTTTTGAGAATCGATTGCCATGTGCTTGAGTCTAGCAATGTCCATATATTTTTTCTCTTTATTATGAAAATAAAAACAAATGAAAGAAAGAAAAAATACGAAGAACAAACGAAAAGAACAGAAAGAGATAAAAGCATGCTTACTGCTACATCCTTATCCTTGCTAAAAATGCTTGCTACCTTATGAAGATTTCACGCTTCATTGATTGTCATAAGATGGCGAAAACAAGAAAAACAAACACTACATTCCGTTAAGAATATAATCGTATTAAAGCCGATTGTGTGGTTAATAAGAAGATAACGTCTCAACATTCCAGCATGGATAGTATCGTAAGTATACTTTCTCGTTAAGATATATAGACTATTGATAAAGTTATACAAAAAAAGACTAAACAGAGCCTGTAAATACACTATTAATAAAGATAGGATGTAGAGATAGAATATACTATGACTATTGATTGCTAGAGAGTAATCTTGAGTAAGCATACATTGAACATCCTTCTATCTATTGTGTCCGTAAATATGCTTTTCACATAGAGTCACATGCTGATTTAGAGTGAATCATGTTCACGTGAGTTAGATAGGATATACTTTTTGAACTTGACAAAGTGAAATAAATGAATAGTTTATTAAGTAAAAACAAAGAATTTATACAATAAGAAAAAAAAAATGAAAATCCAAAATGACCTTCTTCTTTTTTAAAAGATGTATATCGAAAAAAGTGTCGTTTAATTAATTCAGGAAAGAAGACGAGCCAATATGCTGACTCAAGACAAAATTGAAGAAGAACAGATAGAAAAGAAAGAATAAACAAAGAGAAAAGAGAATCTCAAGTAGCTATATATATATAACTATTGAGGAATAGGGCTAACCCTGATTCGTGCCCACCATCGTTCCCCATTTACTCGTCTTTTCTTAATTGTTTTCGAATTCGTCCCCCTCTAAATTCGTCTCCTGATGAACTTAACGCTTGATTTTTATAGAAATGCATTGTCTAATATGGTTTTATTGAGAAAGAAAGACAACTTTTATCATAATATCAAGAAATAAATATCAACATTTCTTTTTCACAAGCATAAGAAAATTAAAAAAATTATAGAAATAGAAGAGAAAAAAAATCAAAATAAAAGCCATTATTTAACATAAGTAGTCTTAACAGCTAAACCACATTTAATGGCTAAATCCATTTGACTTATTTGTCCATCAGAGACCTGTTTCAATAAATCTTCTAGAAGAAGATCAATATCATCGTATCCTTTTCTTCTCTTACGAGCTTGAACTCGACTTTCTTCAGCTTGATGCTGTTGGAAGATATGTTCTTCTGGTAATGAACGTATAAATTCATATATATGAGGATGAACTGGGAAAACAGTCTTCATCCTGTTGTTATATCCTTCCATATGATTGTTGGTTCGGGGATATTTTTCTTCAATAAGTTTGTTGACATTCCATAAATCTATTGAAAAAAGACTGGAATCACAATCAACAAAATTCTCCACCATGTGATCGTTAAACTCAACTGCACCACTAACATCTGGTGTATATGTGTCCATTATATCAGTCTATGTACTATTTATCATTCTTTATATCAAATGTTGAAGATAAAAGAATGATGAATGACATTTGCGTTTATTCTAGTTTCACATGCTCAGAAGTCATTTGTGAATGAATTGACAAGAGATATATACATTGGTAGTATTCTTATTGTTTGATTGACAACTCACGGAAAATGATCGAACAAATAAGTCGAAATATTTTCAAATCAGCTTCCTTGATTCATTATTAATTATGCCAGAAAAAGAGAAAAAAAGTAAAATGTGTATCTCAGAATTTTATAGAAGAACTTTTCAATGAATAGAAGTGTTTGAGAAGTTAAAGTAATTATTCTCCTTTATATAACTGAAATACTACGCAGATAAAGCTCGTAGATGACATTAGAAGGTATCTTTGGAAAACGAAATTGCAATTGCTATTTTACAAAATTCCAAAATGAAACACAGAAGAAAAAACTCAACGAAAAACTTTTGCCTTACCCATTATTTATTGTTATCACTATTGAAAATAATTTAATTTCGACTTTTAAGGATGAAGACTTATCAAAGAGTAAGAAGGTACATTACTCGAAAAAGAAAAAAAAAGCGCCAAAAGAAGATGTCGACAGTTCGAATTATGAAACAGCAACCATTTTGAATGCTATATACACGAATCCTCAAGAAAGCATAATCCAAGAAGAGATCAACATTCAAAATGACCATGTAGTAACGTTGCACGAAGATCATGAAGCGAAGTGTGAAAGAAAGGTCATGCACAAGAAGAAGAAGAAGAAGAAGAAGATTAAAAGTCAGTTACCAGACACATCTGATGAACGACAAGCGAATGTCAATGAAGAACAATTTGTTGACAATCAAAGACAAAGAGTGGAAGTAGTAGCAATGGGTCGTGTTGCAATTAATAAAGAAATGTATGAAAGAGATCAAGTTGAAGGAGACCTCGTCTTAGATGAAAATCAACCTACCTTAAACGAAACGAAAATAAATCGGCTCTTCCAGCACTTCGTGCATCCAGCCGACTTAATGAATAACACGGATTTTTCTCCAATTGTTGGGTATGCTGAGGAGCCTTTATTGCCACTTTTTGACGCATGCGCTCCATTGATCCATATTCTTCATAATTTATGGTTTTATGTGCAACTGGCGCTAGATGAAACTCCTGAAAACCCATCTGATGATTTGACAATTGATGAGAGTGCTGCAATTCGGCTATACACAGTCGAATGGGAACAACCGCATCGAAGTCTCTATTCATTGCTCAATCAAACTCTAAAAGGTGGCAATCGCGAAGAACTTCGACCTTATTCTAAGTATCTAAAGTTATTATTAACTGCACTTGTCAAAATTCCATGTGTTCCACCGTTAACTATTTGGCGAGGAGTTACAAGAAATTTGAGTGCGAAATTTCCACCTGGTACCGAAGTAACATGGTGGTCATTTTCTTCATGTACAACATCACTAACTGTGCTGGAGAATAACATGTATTTGGGTACTACAGGTGTAAGAACACTATTTTCTGTTGAAGCCATTAATGGACGAAAAGTACGAGATCATTCACATTTCGTTACGGAAGACGAAATTCTTCTTCTACCAGGTACTCATATGATAGTGCAATCACAATTGAGTCCAGCACCTGATCTTCATTTTATTCACTTGAAACAAGTCATACCGAAACAAACTTTATTGGAACCTCCTTTCGAAGGTAACTTTCAAGATTTCAGTTCCATATTCTAAACATCAGATTTTATTGTTTTAGGTGCACATCTATATCCAGAATTGAAGTGAGTTTTATTTTGTGTTCATCTGAAGGTCCTTGTTGATATGAAGATTTGTAATTGTATTTTGCAGATATCCATGGTATAAAAAGAAGCAATTTTTCATACCATTATCTTTATTGATAATCTTATCGATCGGAGCAATTATTATCGGTTCTGTCCTTGGATCACGAAAAAACGACAACATACCAAGTATGCTTGTTTCTCAATGCTGCGTTCATTTGCATTTAAAGAAATATCTCATACTTTACTTTATATCAGTCTCTTAGAGTGTGCATTGAAAGACACTCGACGAAATATATATAAATCGAGTAAACTTGTATTTAGTTCTTACAAAAGTGCAGCTTGACGAACTCAAAAGAAATTCTAATAATTACTAATAAGCATATAAAAAGCAAAGTTCGAGTCGAATTCGAAGACGATCGGTTCTGTTAGATAAGTAATAAACATACAAGGGACTTTAAATCACATTCAGCTATTCGAATTCAAGATCTATACAAAAATTCCCTATTGTCGGAATTGTCATTAGCTTCATTTTATTTTTGGAATTTTTGTCAACAACCTTATTATCATAAAAACTTTCATTGTTTGGTAGAAATGTGTTTCTACATTCTGGATACAAATATCCCAAAACAACAAATTTTCCCTCACATGTTTTAAGGAAAGCATCATGTATAACTCATGCTATATCATTCTGATTTACTAATCCTGTGAAGTCATAGCAGACAGTGGATTTCTGAATAAATGAATCAAAAACATTGAAGTCGCATCTAGGACTGCTACAGTTAAGTGAAATTGACATTAACACTAATCTCTGACTAAGGATATGAAGCGTTTGATATAGGTGTTATAACAATAGCAAGAACTACGAACTTGAGTAGCTGTGACCGACTGTGCTAAGGACAGACTGCCAAATGGTGCGTATCATTAGGAGTGTGACTGCACAGAAATGTTACTGAGAGTGTAGTTAGGTATAGGTATCCATGGGAACATTACTAGAAGTCTCCATGCTTATGGATAAAGGATAAAACTCTAATTAATACACACATGAACAGATGGACATCCATGTACGCCAACGTTCGACCTACAAAATGCAGGCACAGTCACGCTAACAGCTTCCAAAGCCTTAGTTAAACCAGCATTCAGTCACCGTCCAATACTCTCATCTACCTGCACTCTTATGCATTCACATCCATCAATCACAAGAGAGTTCTTTTAGTCGATGTTTCTAAAATTTTCATTTGCAGTTCTTCTATGGGAAGATTAATATAACCACATCTTTGTTCTAGTTTATTGAGGAACTTAAAATCACATTATAGGGAAAACTGGAATTTTTGTTTGCTTTAGAAAAACCTAAAATATGGCATTCTTCGTGCAAGAATGTGAAACAGATATCAATTTGAGTTTACCTTATGGAAGGTTAGCCTTTTAATTACTCTGCGATAACTACAACAATTTTACAAATAAATGAAATAGAATAGAATTTCCCATAGTAAAACTCGAGTTAGATGAAATCTTGTCAATTTTGATTCCTACTTTTATGTTGCCATACCATTCAACTACTGAATTGTCACATGCAAAATTGAACATTGCGCGACAATAACAATGAAAACTATAAATAACTTTGAATTTTATTGTTTTAGTATATCAATGTATGGACCCATATTCATCACCAGCGACCTCGGGGACTGGAAAATTACCAGTTGCTATAGTTTTTGGGAATTTCCAACGTGTCAACCAAATCGATTTGGCAGTGCTCAACTATGATGAGCAAAGTGTCGATATACTTTCTGGTAATGGAAAACATGACTATGAGACTGAATACCGATATATGACAGATTCTGCACCAAGTTCTGTGTTCAACGTTGATCTAAATAAGGATGGACTCCCGGATCTTATAGTAACGAATGGAAATGATGACACTATTAGCGTCCTAGTTGATAATCCAGACAAAACATTTCAGATTTCGATCCAATATCCTGTTGGTGACGACCCAATATCCACTACAGCAGGTTATTTCAATAATGATACACAAATAGATGTATTAGTAGCAAACTCTGGCGATAACACGGTTAACTTGTTGTTAGGTGATGAGGAAAATACATTTTCTGATATTCGAATTATTTTCGATGTTGGATCGAAACCTGTCTTTGTCATATCAAATGATTTTAATAAAGATGGAAAACTCGATTGGGCAGTTATTAATCAAGGTAATAACACTGTCAGTGTGGCACTTGGGTATGGGAATGGAAGCTTTGAGAACCTACAGACTTTTAGCGTTGGTACGATGTCAATCTCTATGATATCTTATGATTTCAATAATGATGAGAAACCAGATTTGGCTGTGGCAAACTACACTGTAAAAAAAATAGGTGTTCCACCAAACTTTAAAGGTTTCGCAATGGTTTTCGAAACCATTTTAAGTTTCGTAGGATGAAAAAGGTTTCGTACTCTTCATACTGAACCTTTTTAAGTTCCGAAAACCGACGAAGGTTTCGAAGTTTCACGATGAAACCCTCCTAGAGTTTCGTGCACTGTGTACTGAACTTTCGGAGGTTTCGTATGTTTCGTACGAAACTGTTGAGAGTTTCATAGAGCATCTAAAGGTTCCGTGGTAGTTTTACGAAACCTTTCATAGTTCCATAAGTGCTCTTATGGTTCCGAAGATGTTGCACGAAACCAGCCGTGGTTTCGTAAAAGATATACCGAACCATTACATCGTTTACAAAGCTATGAATAGTTTCGTACAATTTATACTGAACCTTTTGATGTTTTACGAAACCTCAGATAGTTTCGTGGAATAGACAAAGGTTCCGTATATCTTATACGGATCTACGGAAAGTTTCGTAAAATATCAAAAGGTTCGGCATGCACTATACGAAACTGTTCATAGTTTCGTAAATGATGTAATGGTTCGGTATATCTTTTACGAAACCATGACTAGTTTCGTACAATCTTTCCGTAATTATTAGAGCACTTATGCAACTATGAATGGCTTCGTAGAACTAATACGAAACCTTTAGATGCTCTGCGAAACTGACAATGGTTTTGTGACATATATACAAAACCTTCTGATAAATGACGAAGCTCTTAATGGTTTCGTATAAAATATACGAAACTATTATATGCATTTCGAAACTATCAATGGTTTCGTAAAATGTCTCCGAAACCTTTCCAACATTTACGAAACTATGCATGGTTCCGTAAAGATATGCCGAACCATTGCATCATTCACGAAACTATCGATGGTTTCGTATCACGTATACGGAACCTTTAGATGCTTTACGAAACCATCAATGGCTTCATATATTTTGTACAGAACCATAATAAAGATTGTGAAACCAACAACAGTTCCGTACAAATTGTACGGAACCATTTTACTACTTGCGGAAGTAAGGGTGGTTTCGTACAATGTATACGGAACCATTTTACTACTTGCGGAACTAATGGTGGTTCCGTGTTCTAGGTACAGTACCTTTAGGTGTCCTACGAAACCGTAAATGGTGTCGTATATTGTATGCAGAACCATAATAAAGGTGGCGAAACCCTCAATAGTTCTGTACAACTTGTACCGAACCATTTTACTGCTTGCGGAACTAAGGATGGTTTTGCGTTTCATATTCGGAACCTTTAGATATACTACGGAACTATCATTAGTATCGTATAATGTATATGGAACCATAATATAGTTTACGAAACCACCAACAGTTCCGTACAAGTTATACGAAACCATTTTACCCCTTACGACACTAACGGCGGTTTCATAATGTATATACGGAACGATTATAGGTTTCGTACATTGTTTATGAAACCATTATATAAGACTTATAAAGTTGTCAGAAGCTTCGCATAACAAATGCAAAATGTTTTGGTATTCTAGAAAGCCGATCATGGTTTTGTTGGTTAGCTAAACGCTCCATTCCATTGCACGACATCAATGATAGTCTCGCAAAATACATTAAGCTTTATCAATTTTCCCATAGAGACTGTTCAAATTCTAGTAAGCGATGACAGGGTCGCTCTGCTTCTCTTGAAAGCATATGCCATAATGAATACCATCGAAAATTTCTTACTTATTCGTTTGGCTAAGAACGTTCCGCTGTTCGCTATAATACTTTAATAGAGAACACTCATCGACACAATAAAGCTTATTAGCGAACATTGGAGGTATAAGAAGGGAATATTGAAGAAGTGTCCGTACAAATACATAATGCACAAGCCAGAGAAAAAGATCAGGGTATGGCACAATCAGATGATCATACAGATAATGTCAGGTTTACTTATCGACTCCAGATACTAGTTAACCGAGTGCCGAAAGATAAATTGATAATGTTTAGAGCTCACCGAAATAAGACAAGCACATTTTGGATGTGGGCCTGAGTGTGGGTGTACGTTTGAGTGTGGTTTTCATTCTTTGCTTTATCCACACCAATCATCCACCCACACCCACAATTTTTACTGCTACCCAACCAACGTTTTCTAGACTAGAATTTTCCAAAACATATGCATTTATTTCTTCACCCGATATTTTCACTTGCGTACTATCATTTATAATATTAAGCACCAACATTGAGTAGTTAATAGATATCTATAAGGAGAATCATCAAGTAGGTAATCTAAATTGATGAAGATCACCATGGAGTAGATAATTAATATGCATGAGGATCAGCAATAGGTGAGTCATTTGTATCATCGAGGGCCAACATTAATCTTTGATCTGCGACAGACAAACACACAAACACGTTTTATTTCATATGACCTCCCTTTATTCGAAGGGGAAAAGTCAGATTTTTGCTGAAATTTTTATATTCTTTCGAAAATCCCTTTTGAGGTTTTGTACGAAACCTTAGAAAAACGGAATGTGTAGGGACAGAGAAGATGTCGTGCCCACACCCTCAGTTTAACTATTATTTACAAAGTCTCTTCGTTTTATAATATCTTCTA